TGAGGACGGAGGAGAAAAAATAAAGGCAGAAGAGGAGAGTGTGGGGTGGAGGACAGTTTAAAAATCTGAAGTTGGCAGGCTGGTTAGGTCATTGGTTAGAACATGGTGCTAATAAACACAAAGGTCAAGGATTAAGATCCCCTCACTGGCCAGCTGCCAAAAAATAAAAATAAATAATAATAATAGTAATAATAAACCTGAAGGAAGGGAGGGAGGGAGCCACGTGAGGACCAGAGAGGAGCACTCCATGCAGAGGGCACAGCCATGCAAAGGCCCTGAGGTGGGACAGTGCCTAGTGTGAGGAGCAGTGGGAAGGCTGAGGAGGAGATGGAGGGGGACAGACCAGGCAGGGTCTCCTGGGCCCGGGAGAGACTGAGTTTTACCTGAGTCAGGTGAGAGCCATAGAAGGGCTATGAGCAGAAAAGGGACAGTTATGACATGGGATTAACAGGCTCCCTCAGGCCTCTGTTGGGTTGAGGGAGGAGGCCAGGAGACCCCGGGAGAGCCACCTGCATCTGTCCCAAGGAATGAAGATGGGGGCCAAGATCCAGCTGAAACCTCATATAGAGTTTCACACGGTAGTTCTTGAAGATGGGGAAAGTGAGGCCCCAAGATTAGGTGTGTCTCCGTGCCTCTGCCCCCGGTACGCAGTAGGCACCTGATAAATGCCCAGTGTGTCAATGAATGAATTCAGCCGGGAAAGAGGTAGACAAAGCTGGGCTACTTTGCCGGGGAAGGGAGACTTCCAAGCTGGAATTCCTCCAGCCTCACCCACCCAGATCTGCAGCTTGATCCTCTTGTCGTTTCGATAGATGGTCTTGACCTTGAAGTCAATGCCCACGGTGCTGACGAAGGCAGGTGTAAAGGAGTCATCGGCATAGCGAAAGAGGAAAGACGTCTTGCCCACACTGCTGTTGCCGATGATGAGGATCTTGAACATGTAATCGAAGTTCTGATCCGAGGACTCCTTCTGCCCGTAGCGTGAGTCTGTGGCCGATGCCATCTGGGGTTGTGAGGTGTAGGGGAGGGTGAGGGGTACTCACTGCATCCCCAACTGCCCAAGCCCAGGCCCGGGATGGAGAGCTCCAGAAAGTGACCCGTCAGTGGAGATCGTTCTGATCCCATCAGGAGCCCCAGTATTAACAGTGGTGCCCCCGGCAGAGGGCGGCCCCTGACCTTGAAAAGCCAGGTTTCAAAGGAGGAGCTCAGAGGGACGCAGATGGGGACACCCCTGTAGCCCCCTCCCGCAGGCTGAGCCCCAGGTCTGGCTGCAACCCTAAACCTACGACTGCGCCCAGAGCGGGTGACTGCGGCCAGCCTCGCCCCCATCAGTCTCTCATGGTTGCAGAGCAGAGCTGCTCAGACACACGTGCACACGCACATACGGTCCCGCGGGGACGAGCGTCCGCAGCCCCGTTCCCCCGACCCCCAGGCTGGGAGAGCTCTGGCCTAGGCAGCTGCATCGCGTGATAGGAGCGGGGTGTGCGCACGCTCACGTGCATACAGCCCCGAACGCACTCACCCGTACACGCGCGTGCACACACAAGCATGCGAACACACCCGAGAGCCCAGAACAGAGATGCAGACGCACGTCTGTACACTGACTTGCTTATAGAAACGTGCAAACCCACCCGTGCACACGGCTCCCCCCACCCACGCGGGCGCGTGCACATCACCCACATGGACACGGACCCCCGTGCACGCATGCACGGTCCTGCGTGCACACGCACAGTCCGCGCGTCTCCCTCCGCACGAGTGCGGCACGTGAGGCCCAGACCCTCAGGGGGTAACACGAGCATACCCAGGTACACACGCAAGGGTACGCACAGACCCGCCGGCGCAGGCAGGCGCGCACACGCGCGTGCACACCACGCGCACGNCCTCCACCCCCAGCCCGCCCCCAGCTCCCTGGAAACGCCAAGACGTCTCTCCCGCTCCGTTTGCATTTGGGAAGTTTATTTTTTCTAAGGGGAACATGTTGGTCCCCCTACCCGACTACAAAAGTATCACCAACCTATTGCAGAGAATCGGAAAAATTCAGAAAAAAAAAAAAAATATTGTAAAAATAAGTCCACCCCCATTCTCCGTCCCCTCTCCGCCCACGCGGAGACTGACAGTCAAGTCCCCGCTCTGGGTAGGGCTCCGCGGTCCCCGTTGGAGTGAGGACGTGCCACGCGGCTCAGCTTTCTGACCTCCCTTCCTACCTGAGCGGCTCTCGGAAATACCTTCTGATTTATCCCGGAGAGGGGGGGAAAGTCCGCCACGAGAATGTGCACCAGCTTCTGCACTGAGTTGGTATTTTAAAATAAAGTCAACGTAAGGCCTTTATTGTTAAGAATCACCATTAGGCTCTGGAATTGGGGTGGTTGAGCTGGGGGTGGGGGACGGGGGTCGGGAAAGTGTGTAGGGGATGTCTCCTACGTGGCAGGGGACACAGTGGTGGGAGAAGGGTCTGGGCTCCCAGGCCCTAAACCCTTCCAGGTCCTGTCCCACTCAGATAAAAGCTCAGACTCCTCCGTGCTGCACAGGCCCCTCGAAGTCGCTGCCAATTACCTCCCCATCCCATCATTCTCCTCCAGTTAGATACTCCCTTCTTATTGTTCCTGGTACCATCCTGCGTCAGGGCCTTTGCACATGCTGTTTCCTCTGTCTGGGGTACTGTTTCCTCAGCTCTCCTGGTGCCCGGCTCTCTCATCCCCTTCAGGTCCCTGATCAACGCCCTCCTACTTCGGGAGGTCCCCGTTTCCCTGTCACCTTGTTTCTCCTTCCTGACACATCCTTGTCAGAAATGATCGTGTGTTTGGGCCGGCCTGTGGCTCACTCGGGAGAGTGCGGTGCTGATAACACCAAGGCCCCGGGTTCGGANGCCCTCGCCGCCCCTCCCCCTCAGCCGCAGAGCGGGGCGGGAGGGGGTGAGTGCTGAGGATCGGGCAGGTGGGGGGCTCGCGGGCTCAACCCTCTCCCAGGCCCGCGACCACCGCGTCCTTCCCCCCCATCCGACCCCCAACCACCTCGTCCCCCACCTCCGTCAGCCCGTCAGTCAAATGAAGGTTATGCCGGTGCTGGGGGCGGGAGCATCTCGGGCCGCCCGGAGCTCACCTTGCCCTGCACCGATGTGGCGGCGACCCTAGCGGCTGCGACTTTTTGGGCGGCGGCAGCGGCAGCGGCGGCGAGGGCCCCGATACACCAATGTGGGGCTGCGCGGCGGCGGCGACGGCTCAGGCCCCTGCAGTCCTCGGTGACGTCCCGCAAAGGGCGGGGCGGGGCCTCACATGCATATAGGGCCGTGACGCCATCCGGAGGCGGGGCTGCGCGGGGGATGTGGGCCACTGACGCGCGCGGAGCCGGAGGGGGCGGGACTTCTGCGCAAATGAACGCACGGGTGGGCGGGGCCTAGTGTGGGCAACCCGTAGGGGCGGGGCTGCGCAGGCGCCGGCTTTGCGTCTCAGCCGCTTCAGGGAGGCGTGGCTGATCTGCGTCCTCCCATTGGCTTAAGGGCTCGTGCGACAGGCCGACGAGCCAATCAGCGATTGTCAACGCCCTCCTCCTGTCCAATGGCGGTTCCCGGGTGATGGAAGGGCCGAGAAGCTAAGGCTTCAGCTGAGCCGGGATCTTCGTGGGGGGGGTTCCTTTACCCGCCCGCGCCCGCCCTGCTGTGACCTCTCGTTCAGTGCCCCCCACCCAATTTAAGAAAGCAGGAACTGAGGCTAGAGAGATGGGTTGGAGAGCTGCTTTACCCCCCTCCCACATTTATGGGGTTCCAAACAAATACATAAGAAGAAAAAAGAGGAAATAGGGGGTCAAGAGAGTGGGGGCGGGGCTGGTAGAGGCTCCACTCCTCGCGTCTCCGAGGTAAAAAAAAAAGAAAAAAAAGAAGTAGAGGTCAGGAGAGCCATCCCTGCCCACCAATTCACGGGAAAGGCAGAAGGGGCTGATGGATGCTCGGGAACCCCTCTCCTCCCTGCAAACCCATCACAGAGAGAAAAATCCGAAGAAAAAAGCCGAAGTAGGGGCAGAGAGGCGGCCTGTCCCCTAAAGCCCCAAAGCCTGCTGTGAAAGACCGGGAAACAGGAAGGGCATGAGCGAGGCCCCCAAGCCCTTCATTGCTCGGGTTCAGAGACCCCTCTCTCCCGGGGAAGCAAGACCCCGAGGATGGAGACTCTGGGAGCTTACATGCTCCACTGTTCATTCCTCCAAATTTTGAGGGGAAAAGTCAGAATTTAGGGGGGGATCCTGAGACTCCAGCCCCCACCCCGCAGGGGGCGTGAGGTCCCCAAGAGAGTCTTGACCCCCTCGAGTCCCCCCAGGAGGCGTAGCCGGGGATGCGGGGGCCTTGTCCTGTTTATAAAAAGCTCGCAGCTGCAGAGGCGCCGCCCAGAGACAGGAATAACTTCGCGCCTCGAGGCTGGGCCCCACCCTCCACCCC